GCACCGTGGGGCAGGCTGTTTCGTGCCATCACACCACCCATGCTTTAGCACCAAAATGTGAACAAGTTCTCTAAGGCAAGCCTGCCGAGGAAGGGCAGTGTAAATAAACCAGTGCTCACACTGCGAGGAGCGTGCCTGCTCTCCCCAGTTCTTAGGTCAGCTCTGCGCGGTCACCCACATCCAGGTGGCGGCACCACCTGCCCTGTCCTTCGCAGGGCCGCACTTTGGGCAGACCTCCAATCAGAAGAGGTGAGCATGGCAGAGAGCCCCTGGGAGGCTGAGGACTGTGGAATCAAACTGCCCCTTATCTTTGCAGGTGGGGCAGAGCAGTTCAGGGACACCACGCACGCCCTGCCCAGCCTTAATCCCGCACCTGAGTCAGGGACCACTTGCCACCCTCCACTGGGTGGTCGTGGCCAGACAGTCCCCCAGGGCCAGCAAGTGCTGAGTCCCGCGTCCCTTCTGTCCCTCTACCCCTCGCTTGCCTTCTTTTGGGTTAGCATTTTCTAACAGCGCCGCAACTTCCGTAGCGAGTCACTATCTATGAGCTACCTCGGTAGTGGGTGCTCTCGGCCGCCAGTGTGCCTCTAACCAGATTTACTCGACATGCACTCACGTCTGGAGCCGGAAAGGTGTAGCCTTTCCCTGGTATTATTAGGCACAAACCACATCTATAAAGGAGGCAAATCTGACAACACATGGTTGACACGGAAGCTGATAGGGATACATACATAACTTGTTAAATTAACTTTCTTATTTATCATTCCTGGTTGTTTCTATGGATCTGAGTCACTATCTGGAACTAGTTCACTAGCCCAAACTTTGCTCCTGCCCACCTCCATTGTGCTATTGGCAAGCACATCCCATTTCTATGTTACAGGCCCAACAGTATATTATATCCATGTTGTTTTATACAACCGCCTTTTAAATAAGTTAATAGCACGTGTATGGTCTCACATAACAGCACCATTGCTTTACCGCTGCTTGTGTGTGTGTAGATTTGAATTACCATCCAAGGTCACTTGCTTCAGCTTGAGAACTTGCTGGCAACAAATTCTCTCACTTTTTATATCAATTCACTCATTCTGAAAGAGCTTTGCTGGATACAGGATTCTGGTTGTGGCTTTTTCTTTGAGCACTTGGCCCCCCTACCCTGGCCTCTGCTGATGGTGACATGAAGTCAGCTGTCAGCCCTATAAGGGCGATGGTCACTTCTCTTACTGTCTTCAAGATTTTCTGCTTGCAGATCTCTATGTTGACCCACTGGAATTCACTGAGCCTGCCATGTCTGCAGATTAGCGTTTCCCAGTAAATCTGAGGATTTTCTGGCTGCTGCTTCTTTGACTGGGTTCTGGGCCCAGCCCTCTCCTCCCCTGCTGGGACTCCCTTATGCAGGTGGTGAAGTCCCAGTCTCTCCAAGGCTGACCACTTTTCCTCATTCCTGGTACTCTCTGGTCACTGGACTGTGCACCCTCTGATCAGATTGCTCTTCTGCCAGTTCACACCTACTGTTAAGCCCCTCTAGTGAGTTTTCCACTGCATTTACTGTATTTTAGCTCCAGAACTTACACTGGTTCATTTGTAAACAAGTTTTATCTTTGAATGACATTCTCTATTTGGTGTGTATTAGAGTATCTTCCTTCCTTTCCCCACTTAACCATGGTTTTCTTTAGTTCTCTAACCATACTTACAACAGCCAGTTTGAAGTCTCTGGTTAAACCCAACATCTCATGTGTACAGGCAGTTCCGTGGTCTGCTTTTTCCAGGGCATGAGCCATACTTCTGTCTCTTCATGTGTTCACACTGTACTGGAAAGCCGCCCTTTGTAGGCAACATGCAGTAGCAGTGTGGTTACTGTCACCTGCTGTGTACCCTGCTTGGCATCTGCTGGCCAGTCAGTGCTGTGCCTCTCCCCTCGCAGCTGAGCCTCTGCTGAGGCGCCTCAGGCCCGGTCACCCCGCAGCACCGTGGTTTGAGCAAACCTCCCTGCCCACCCCTGGCAACCCAGGTCCACCACTATTGGCTGACTTCTCGGCTGTTTCATTGTTTTACATGATACCCTGGGCATGAACCTCTCCAGAGACTAACACAGCCGAATTTGACTCCTCTGAAAGAACAGATCCTGAGACCAGTCTTTGAGATGTTTTTCCTGACCCAGAGCCAGCCTGCAGTTCAACCTGTAAGTAAATCTCCACTTGCCTTTCTCTACAAGTTCCAGTATTTGGCTCTGGTGCTGGGAGACAGGACAATGCCATGTCTCTGAGTGCCAGCCCTGCTTCAGAAGCTGAGTTACTGCTGAGGGTCAGCAGCCCCAGGTCTCCTGGCCTGCCTCAGTATTGATCCTCTGCCCCACTGATGGTCAGGTGCTGATGCCCGCCTCCACCCTCCACATCCCGGGCTGTGTCCTCACAGGAGGGACCGAGACCTGGGCAAGTGACTGCTGGCGAGGGTGTGGTGGTGGGAGGGAGCCAGGAGACCTGGCCTGGATTTGGCTGTGACCCACTCCCCAGTGTGTGCTCTCTATTCACTACATGTACACTGTCTGGCCACCCATGCAGCTGGAAGTGCCCCAATAACTGGGATCTGTCCGAGGGATGGAGCAGAAGTGATGTGCACAACAAAGGAGGCTGGACTAGGCTGGTGCAACACTGGGGTCAGGGGTGGGGAATGGAGAAATTGCCTTGAAAAATGACATGGGAGCCGCACTGACACATGGCAGGAGCCTGGTTCCACCTGGATCACCTCCCGGACTTGCTGGCTGGACCCGAAGCGGGCTGGGACCTTTGTTCTCCTTACTGCCCTTACGGATCAACTAACACCCCAGCTGCAAGCCACCAGCCTCCTCAGCAGCCCTCATCCCTCTCAGAAAACCCAAGTTCACTGGAGGCAGGACGGGGGCCTCACCTGACCATCCTCTCGCCTCAGACTGAGCACAATGCGTCTGGGTACTTAATACATGCTGTGCTCTGTGCTAAATGGCGGTTGAGGTACAAGTACCTTTATGCACCAGGAAAGCCCCATGGAAGCTGGCCTGGCTGCCTCCTCCCCAGTGCAGTCAGGCGGGCCTTCAGGGACAGCATGGGTGGGTCCTGTTTGGCCCAACTCTGCTGCCTGCCCCGGCCCCGGCCCCCCCGGAGCCCGTATGCCTACAGTGGCCCTGAGCTGCCCCCAAGGGCTCTGCCCTCAGAGACGGGTAGGACGGGCCAGGAGAGGTCCCAGTGGGGGCTGCAGCTCCCAGGTTCCTTTTCTCATCCCTTCATTCCCCACGCCAGTCCCTTCCTACCACCCTGCACCCACAAATGTGTGCTGGGGCTCCCGTCTCCTTCACACACCCCACCACAGACCATGGCTGACTGTGGGGGACGGTGCCGACGCTGAATGGCACCCAGATGCACCCTGGGCAGGCCCTGTCTGCCCCCCGCCCCATGGGAAACGCTGGCAGTGAGGGTATCCCCTGCAGCTCCTCATGTGCCAGGACAGCCTCCTAGGGCTGATACCATGTCTCCTCTGGGGCACCCACAGAGGGCAGTGCAGAGTGGCCTGCAGACCCCACCTGGAAGCAGGTACTGTAGGCTGGCCTCTATGGGTGCCAGAGCCCCACCTGCACAGGCCTGCCAGTCTAGCTCTGCTCGGCCTTGCTCAGGGACGGAGCTCCCAGCCAGGGGCTGCCCGTCCTGTCAGGAGAGCCCCACTCTCCCACCATACTGTTCTCCTTTCCCTGGGCCCCAGCGCTGCAGGCCACACCCAAGAATAACACCCCTAATTTGTTCAACAGGTGGCAGCTGACACCTGCATCCTGGCCAGTCCTGGGGGCACCCAAGCCCTTACACAGCAGTCAGAAGCAGCAGAGTCCCACTGTGGCACAGCTAGGGACACAGCTTCTTTCCAGCCTTGGTCTGCCAAGTTGTTCTGACCGCCAAGGAAGGGGATAGTCAAGATGGACAAATAGTCCTAGGAAGAGGTCCACCGAGTCCTGCGCACTGTGCTGCCTGCCCCAAGGAGGGAGGTGGGCATGAGGTGCACAGCCCCTGTGATGGCCACTAGGCATTCCTTCACCCAGTGAAGGCACCTGGCACACTGCCACTCTGTGAGGGGGGTGCAGGGATGGGAGGAGGCTCGGCCAACCGTACAGAGAAGCCCCCAAAAGGCCACACACACACTGCCAGTGCAGGCTGGGCTGGGTGCTCCCACACAGTGCTCTGGAGGTCCGTTGACAAGCATTTATTGATTGGCCATGACATGGCCAGACAGAAGAGGTCATGCGGGCATGACAAGAGTCAACAGCCTGGGCCTATGGTCTGACGAGACGGAGCACCCACAGGGCACCCAGGAGAGCCAGCCACAACGCCGCCTGCATCCACCCTCCCTGGCTTTACCCACCCAGTCAGGACCTGCTGCCACACTGGGCAGAGGGTCAGACTGCTTCCCAGCCCGTCGGTCCCTCCATGCCACCCACCCCTGGGTGCAAGGTCAGCCCCCCTGTGACTCCTGTGTGACTCCCGACACCTCAAGCGGCTGCAATTCAACATCACCGGGGGTACATGAGTCTGGAAGTGACAAAAAAGTGCCCAAGTGCACAGACGCTCCCCCAACCTGCGAAGGAAGCAGACAAGACATCGAGGACACGACCTGGCCCAGAGAACTGGCCACGAGCCTCTGAACACGGCCTGTTGGTTTCTAGCATTCGGATGCACACGCACAGCACAACACACAGGTCCGCAGCATGCGGCCCTGTCAGCGCTGACCACCACCAGTGTTCAGGAGGATGTGAAAGTGCCAGAGAAGTGGCCTACAGGCCAAATGCACGAGCCCCACAGCTCTCAGGGACAAAGGTCTCTCAGCACAAACACAGGAAACAGGAGCAAAGACGAAGTGCCACTTCAGCTGCCATGACCTTAGAGCAGGGGATGGAATCCCAGGGCAAAACGGTGACGAGAACACCAAGTACAGCCGTTTCACGACACTCACAGGGGTGCCAAGAAGGGCTTCGGGTAATCAGGGCTCCAGGAGGGCGGCAGGAAGCCACGAGTCCGAGAACTAACAGGAGATGTGGGAACTAACCGTGTGCTCCCAGGACCAGCTTTCACGTGACCCCCTGTACGCCAACCTTCCTGCACATTACCAGGGGATGTGCAGCCTGCCTTACTGCTTTTGTTACGTATGTGCAAATCTAAGGCTGACCTCAGAGGCTGATCAACATTTATTAACATAAAGGCCGTAAATACAGAACTCTGGGGAATGTGGACAGCAGACTGTACCCTGGACTTGGAGCCATGCTGCAAAACACAGGCCGAGCCTCGTGGCCCTACAGTGAGGCAACAGGCAGGCCCACTTGGTCACTCCTACCGTTACAAGCTGCAAGTCTCCCATACCAACCCCGCGTGTGGCCCACTCCACGCTGGGATTCCAGCCCACAGGGTGGGACCTACCAGTAAAATGCAGGACCTTTCCACATGCTGAGTAAGGTCACACAAACAGGGCGGTGACCTGTTGCCTGTAAGGACACGAGCAGGGGCTATGCCACGGAGGTCCAACACTGACCCAGCCCTTTGCCACCTGCCCTTGGGGCCTACCTACCTCAGGGATGGCTACCAGACCAGCAGGCTGAGCCCCGAGGAGGAGATGCTAACCTTGTCAAGGGGCAGCAGGGACTTCTGTTGGTCAGCCTGAGGACCGGCCTTTCTCATACTGGACGGATGGAGAGATATCTCCACCCTCAGACACAGGAAGGCTCAGCAAACATAAGGCCAGTCTGCCCAGCCACCCTGGGTTCTGGCCACAGGCAGTGCTGGTATGCGGAGGTCTGGAGGGCCTCTCTGGACATCTCACATTCACGTGGTGGGACAGGTAAGAGCTTATGAACTGCACACGGGGACTGGGCTATCCTGAGTAACTGACACCAAGTCAGGCGCTCACCCTCTGGGTAAGGCTCTCCACCAGCACCTGATCTGGCCTCACAGCCACAGCCCTGGGGAGTGCAGCCCACGTCAGTGGTTGCCCACCAAGGATGAGCAGGGCAGGGGGGAGCACTCCTGGGGGGCTTCGAGTTTGACCACAGCCCTGAGTGCCAGGCGCCGCCGCTTCACCTGCCGCTGCCTCACGAATACCGAGCGCAGTGCACGCAGCTGCCCCACCTCCTGCGCCGTGAAGCAAGGCTGCCTCTCTGCGAAGCGCACCACAGCATCAAAGGCCAAGGCCGCCTGCTCCCAGGCCGCCTCCTCACTGTCCTTCTCAGCCTGCTCCAAGGTCCCCATGGCCGGGGCCAGCCCTGCAGTGGCGGCATGCCCCTCTCCAGCCTCCAGGCCGGGCCCGCGGTGCTCAGGGGCCAGGCTCCGATGAAGCCTGCTGCTCGGGTGGTACGGAGCCTCTCTCCCAAGCTCGAGGATGTGCGCGAAAGTCGGATCACGAGGCTTAGTTCTGAGGCGTTCAAGCTCCTCCTCAGAAGACGAGCCTTCCACAAACGGGACCGCGGGCCACAGCTTCCTCCAGGCCCTGCTGAAAATGTCACTGGGTACAGCATTCCAGGCACAGGCCACATTGAATATGGCATCATTCATGTTGTAACGGGGGTGGAAGCTCTGCAGCGTGACAGGAGGGTTGATGAAATTCCTCATGAAATCCCTTCGAATGCCCTGGTCCATGGGCTGGATCAAGGAAGTGACACTGGCAGGCAGAAAAATGGTGAAGATGTTGTCAGACACCAGCTCGGACTCCTGAGGGTGGGCCCGGGAGTGGTCCAGCAGGAGGATGGCTTTGCTGTCTTCAGGCAGACCTGTCGTTCTGAAGTGCTCCTTCACCGAAGGGACAAAAATGTGATGGAACCAGTCAGAAAAAATCTCCTTGTCCACCCACACGTTACCCTGGGCCTTGTATGCCGCTGGCAAGTGCTGGATGCCTTTGAAAGCCCTGGGGCCGCTGCATTTTCCAATCACCAAGGGTTTGATTTTATGGGAGCCTGTGGCATTGGCGCACATTAGGACAGTCAGCCTGTCCTTGTTCTGTTTGACACCGGGTGCCGCCCCACCTTCTGGAGGGGGGTTTGGCAAGCACCGCCAGAAGAGGCCGGTCTCGTCAGCATTGTAAACCTGCTCAGGGGACAGGCCATGCTCAGCAGTTAAGCTCCGAAAAAAGCTACAGAACTGCTCGGCTGCTTGGTGGTCAGCCACCTGCTTTTCACTGGATGCGTCCAGCTTCTTAATCCCATGCCTGGCCTTAAACCGCCAAAGCCACCCACCAGAAAACACGCAGGGCTCAGTTAAGTGCATCTGCTCGTAGAAGTCCTTGGCCTTCTCGATGAGCATGGGGCCCGAGACAGGCACGCCCTCAGCACGCTTCACCAGGAACCACTCGTACAGGACACGGTCCAGGTGCTCCAGCTTAGGCGTGTGCAGGGTGCGGCGCCGCTCCAGGGCCTTGCTGGAGTCGGAATTGGCAAAGAAGCGGAGCAGCTGGGCCTTGTGGGCCTTAATGTCGTATAGGGTGGACATGCCCACATTGTACTCCTGCATGAGCGCCCGCCTGCTCTCGCCCCTCTCCAGGCGTGCACAGATGTCCATCTTCTCCTTCAGGGTCAGCACCACCCGCTTGCGCTTCTCCCCGGGGCTCTTCCCAGCAGCTGGCTTGGAGGCCATGTGGAGGGTGGCTTGTCGCAGTGGCAGGGGAGGCCCAGCCAGGCAGCTCCCTTGTCACCTCCTTCCACGTGGCCTGCACCGTTTCTTCAGCTAACCCTGGCCACCAAGAGCCACAGCCCTCCTTTGTTCCACCCTTCAGCTCCAGCAGCCACGGCTGTCCCTTGTCTCCTGGGCTCCCAGCAGCGTGGCTGGCTCCTGGTCCACTCGGCAGGGGAAGTCTCACACCGCCCCTGAACTTCTCCACAGCGGGAACTCTGGCCTTCCCTGCAGGAGCTTGTGGCCCCTCACCCTCTCATGCACGGACCAGAGTGGAGGGGCCTCTGGTGCTGGTTCCAGCAATGGAGTTTCTACTGTCTGAGCGGCAGCGCCTCCCTCCCGGCTTCACCACGCTGCCTCACACATACAGTGCTTTAGGAACTGGAAAACAGGAGAAGAAAGCAAGCCGTTACAGAGCATGTACCAAGGCCACTGTAAGTAAGCATGTCATTATTTTAGACATCCTGAGAAGCTGCAACACAAATAAATGTTGCAGAGACGACCAATACATGAGCTGGCCAGCAAATGACTCGGTGTGTGGGCAGCTGCCCAACCCTACCCAGCCCCCGGGCTGCTAGGCACAGACTCTTTCCTGCTTCTACCAAGTGACCTGAGTCATTATGGTCCCAGCCGGACAATTCCATCCTTCTATAAACGTTGAAAGTTTCCCAAAGCACCCACACGCCTTCTTGCGCCACCGTGGACACATCCTTACAGGCCTGGTAGTCTGTCACCGCCCCTGCCCACACTTTGCCAGGGGGGACACACGTCCTCCAGCCTGTGAGGAGGGCAGAGCTTCTGCCCTCACCAGCTTGCTCTGACGGTCCTGCTTCTCCCCCAAGCCAGCTGTGTCCCCTCACTTCCTTCATGACTGGCCTCCAGCCCTCTCACACCCCTCTGCCCAGACAGACTAGACAGGAACTCTGCACCCACCTCCCACCCAGACCCTTATTTTGGCTGCCTCTTCCAATTTCACGCAAGTGGGGAGACCACAGGATTACTCCTGTATGAAGCACAAAATGCAGCCCTTTGAGACTATAACACAAGAAAAAAATAAAGTTTTTTCAAATGTAGGAAGAGCCCCAAATTCAAATTCTATCTGGCTAGGTCTGGGTATATAGCCTCCTTTCGCTCTCCCACGTCAGTTTCTTGGTCTGCAAAGTGCAGCAGCTGGTTTTTACGGACCCCGTTTTCAACCGACTTACTGGCTGTAACAGGGCCTCTGTACTGCTTGGCCCTGTGGGGAGCAGGGGGAAGTAGAGGCCATAATCCACCCTTGAGGAGACAATTAATATGCAACACCTTAGAAACCAGGAGGAAACACGCGGCCCCCATAACTGGAAAGGGACTGACTCTCAGCACAACAGGAGGGAGGAGGAGGGGCTTGGGATGGCTGGGGGGAGGATCCGCGCCAGAAATGGGTTCATCAGGGACCTTTCCTCGTGCTTGACATGCTGTGTGTGCAGGCTGATTCCAGGCCGCTGAAAACACAGTAGCCTGGCTCACGAGATATGTTCCTTTAAAAATGAAATTCAGGCATTACTTCTGAAACACCTTCTTAAACCAAAAGGTACCCTAACGTGCCCAACAAAGCAGGTGGTTTCCAGCCTAAGCACTGACACTCAGGCCCAGGGGACACACAAAAAACTGGGAGAGGGCGTAAGGGGACAGAGGTGGGCAGGAGAGGAAAGGAGGCGCCCAACCAGTACGACCCCTTACCGTGTTAGGGGAACTAAGCGGACTTCCGAAAGAGCCAGAGGGACTCGGGGGAGTGAGGAACTACCTTTTCATGGAAGCCCCGGTAGTGTGGAAGGTGTCGGGGACGATGAGGGGTAAATACTCAAAAACACGTACTCTGGAGACCGACGACAGCTGGAGTCTGACGCGAGGGGCGAGGCGGCCGGGACGGGCCGCTGGGCGGGGCGGAGACTGGGGGCGCCCCGCCGGCAGCTCTCGGGGCAGGCGGGTGGTCGCACAGAGCCGCCTCCGTGGTGCAGGGGGGCGTCCCGGGGCTGTTTTAAAGGCGCTTCTATCCCGGGGACCACGTGCGAGGTGACAGCTCAGTCTGGCGCCACTGCCAAAACCAAAGCGAAGGGGTCGTCAGGCTGTGCCTGGCTCCTTCCGGGAGGAAGGGGCCCCCGGGGCCAACCCCTTCTGCAGGCTGAGGGCGGGCGGCCCCCACGGGGCGACAGCGGAGGGCCGGACGCCTCGAGCTCCCGGGGCCGCTGCCCAGCCGCGCAAGGCCACACTGCCCACTCCCTCCCGGGAACACTCACCTCGGCCCGGAGCCGCCACCACCGGCCGGATGTCCCGCTCTGCCCTCTGCCGGCCCGCCCCGCCGCCCTCCCAGTCACTTCCGGGGCGCTCTAGGCCGCCCGGAGGCCCCGCCTCTCTGTGGCCTCGCTGGGGATGGCAGGCTCGTTGTGACCGGACTCTCGTAACCCTGGGCCGGGGTCGGCTGGAGGGCAGGCCGCTGTCCCCAGATCTGCTTTGATGGGAGTTTCCCGTGGCGGGCAGCGACACCCGGCCCAGCTCTTTTACTTCCTGCTCGCTTACAGGCACGTGGAGGCTTTGCGCCTTGCCCTTTGAGACTTTGGAGAGGCTCGGGCGGCGTGCACTTGAGCTTATGCTGCAAGGGGCTTTGGGGGAGACTTCAGGGAAACTAAGAAACTAAGGGGGGAATGAATCTGTTTTGCACGTGAGACAAATGTGAATCTCTGGCAGCTGGAGTGCCCACTGTGGGGGCTGACCAATGGCCCCCCAAGGACGCCTGGAGAGTGTGTGACCTCACACGGCAACAGGCGCCTCACAGATGAGAATAAGAGCCTAGCTACAGATGGGGGTAGGATCAGCCCAGGGTCAGCACAGGGTCCTTATAAGAGGCAGGCAGGAGGGACAGATTCCAGGACAATATGACAAGGGAAGCAGAGAAAAGGAGGCAGGGGAGCCCAGGTGGGGAGCTCTGTGGGTGGTGGCACCTCCGGAAGCTGGTAAGGCAGCCAAATCCATTTTGCCCTGGAGATGGAGAAACGGCCCTACCCACAGCTTGGTTTCCCTTCCTCCAGGCCTGTCAGGCTCCCCAACTTTCCACTCACTCGGCTGACGAACCCAGAATCATTCCTGACTCTCTCAGTCCCTTACCCCCCACACCCCGACCAGCAGCTCGGCTCCGCCCTCCACACCCCAACTGCTCTCCTGGTCCGAGCGGCTCTGGTCTTGCAGTGGCCCCAACCCTCGGCCCTTTGCTTCTGCCCTTGATGCTGTAACAGCCACCTACTGCTGCATGACAGAGCACCCCTAAACTTGTGGCTTCAAACGGCAACCATTTGGTTGTCTGCGGTTCTGTGGCTAAGAAATGTGGGGATACTACAGGTAGACGCGTTTGACAGAGGAGACTGGGGCACCGAGTGTAACGTGCACGTGAGGGGTACTGGACACCAGGCCCCTCCTCCCTGAGCGGCCTCTCCGTGGGTGGCACTCTGCTGCCACCTCGTGGACACAGGATTACATGCGCCTCCCAGAACAGGCATGGGGCTCCCCTATAGGCTTTCCCCATCACTATAGGATCCTTGGGCCTTGTCTCAAGGACAGAGTCCACTCTGGCAGGAAGAAGGAGGAACATCCGCTGGTGTCTGCTGGGGCCTGACACAGGGCTTCCCTCAACTGTCCCCCAACCCACAGGGCTGAGCCCCAGAACACGCCTGCCCACTTCAGCACCTTGCTGGAGAAAGACGGACGGAGCCTATCACCACCCCCCAACCACTCCTTCGCACTGGTCTCCACAGCCCTGCCCCCACCAGGCCACTCAGCCTGGCTCACTGCCCCCTCCAAGCCCTCAGGAGTTCCTACTGAGTATGTTGTCCCTCTGCCTGTAGCCTGTCACCTCACATACAATGTCCACACGCCAGCACATGCTCACACACACACAAGGAGCTTGCAGGACATGGCCTTAGCCACGAGAATCCAAAATGGGGAGCCTGGCACCAAGGATGCCCCCCACATCTCAGCGATCTGGCAGGGCCTGGATTACATCCTGATTTATGAAGGCAATTTTCTAAAGGAAAAATTCTACAAAAATAGAAGGTGAAATCAGTTTAAGCTTTGTAATTAATACACCATCTTTATATTTTTTACATTAATTTTTCATGAAATAAATTCATCCAGAATGATGTCTGTTCAAGTGTGGGACCGCACGGCAGCCCCAGGATGTCTTGATGGTCTGTTGCCAAGGATGCCCTGCGAGGTGGGGTCTGCTCTCCCACTGCTGGCCCTTCCAGCCCCACCTTCACGTCCTGGCAAAAGCCAGGAAAACCCCAGGCTGTGTGAGTCACAGGATCTCCAGGGGACCCGAATGGTTTGGACCCATGGTCTTTAGGTGGTAGATGGGAAGCCAAGGGAGAATAGAAAAATCTGAAGTCCCAGGAGGTGACCAATTTTCTAAAGGAGCAGGAGTGGGAGGCGGCTAAGGCAAGCCATGCTGCAGCCACACCCAGGCCCAGCTACTTCAGCAGTCTCATCTAAACACTGCCTGCATCAGATCTGGGGGTGCTCCAGGCACAGCCATCTGAGACCCAACTCCTCTCTAGCCGGGAACCTGCAAAACCGGCAAGTCCTGTGCAGTGGGACGGGCCCATTCCCACAGGGAGATGCAGGGAGGAAGAAAGGGTGGCAGTCCTCAGCAGCCCCACACGCAGCAAGGCAGTTTCATTAGCTCTTCAGGCTCAAGAACAATCCTGTTTGGTATAATACTTTGCCCTCCACATCCCCTGGGACACAGCATGGTTTCCGTAGCCACCCAGCACAGTCACCCCACTGGACAACCGGACTGCTTCAGGCAAATGCCCGCAGGGTACAGAGCACGCATTTGAGAACTACCACCTCACTGTAACCACACCGCATCAGACTGGATCAGCAACCACTCACCAATCTGTCAGTCGTTGAGGAATGACTATTGCAGGCTCACGGTGGGTACCCTGAATATAAAGACAGATAAGGGAGGATTTGGTCCCGGGCACCCCCAGTCCCAGTGAGCTGGGGAGGGCAGAAAGGCAGGCAACCGCACACGGGAACAGTGACGTCCCAGACATTCAGCCACTGAGGCACCGGGCTGATGGGACTGTGGGATGCATGGGCTGTTCAGAGAGAAAGTTCCAGGTAGGCAGAGTGGACAAGGAAGGCCCCCTGGCCGAGATGCCACACCATCTCCCTGTGACCTTGAGCAAGGTTCTGCCCCTCTCTGGGCCGCAGGCTGCTCACCTGCCAAAGGAGAGACAATCTCCACAGGAAAGAGTTCAGCCTGGTGGATGCCAAGGGGCTGGCCGGGTGGACCCCAGAGGCGCTGTGGGTCCCAAGGAGGTCCCACTGTGTCATGTTGATCCAGAGCTCAACATGCATGGTGGGTGCTGCCTCCCACCGGGAGGGCCCATCTGCCCCTTGGCTTCCCCCACGGCCCAGGTGAGTTGGGAGAGGGAGCCCATTTCCCACTGCCCACCCCTCCTGAAACACCCTCCCAACCCAACATGCCCCCAGGGCCTTTTCCAGGGGTAAATCAAGGGCAAGAAGCAGGTTGAGGTCAGAGATGCCCTCCACAGGGCCAGGACAGTCTCAGGAAATGAAAGGTGCCCTGGGCCACAGGGGAGACACTGTACCCGCCAGAGCTGGCTGGGCACTCCAAGGGGTCACAGGGAGACTGTTTACAAAGAGAGGGTCACACTGAGAGGGACACTGGGGACTACCAACTGCCCACAGGCCAACAGCATAGGAAGCTGACCTCTGGGTTAGGAGGGTGGAGAGTAAGGAACAGTTACTACAGGCTGACCGCCAAGAACACAGCCACTGCTACAGTGGCCCAGCAGAAGAGATGGCCTGACCTCTGAACCTCCCACCCTCAGGTACCTGGCTGACAGAAGCCCTTTGGGGACCCTTATGGAATCCCAGGACACAAACAGGGTGGAGAGCAGGTCGGGGGTCCAGATGGAGTATGCCCAGCCCAGTGCCACCCCCTTCACCTCCTCCTGGCACAGAGGCGGCTGACACTGCATTTCTGACTCACTTGCAGTTAACAGTCCCATACGGGCAGGGATTCAGTAAGGTCAGGAGAGAGGGCTAAGCCACAACCCGGCCACACATACCCCAAGGTGCCACACCCGTGTGCTAGCCTGCTGGTGCCCATACCCTCCAGGAACCTTCTCCAGCACGGCCCCTGCCTGAGGTACCCTCTCTGCAGCCTGCTGCTCTCATCTGCAGTGGTTCAAGGCCTGTGACACACTCAGGACCACGGGCCCAGGAGGGCAGCCCCTCCACCTTGGCTGAATGATGGAGGGCTGAATGCACCTTGAGGAAGTGGGCTCCCTCCTCCGGCCACACTTCTCTGAGATGGGAAGAAGCCAGCCCGGTGCCTCTCCCTGGGAGTATCTGAGGTAAATGGCTGTCGGTGGGGAGAGTGGCCCCCGCCCTGAGCAGGCTTTGCCTTTAGGAAGCAGAAAGAACAAAAGGAGGGGGAGGGTGCATCCTGGTAGGGCAGCTGCACCAGCCTGGGGACCGTGTGTTGGCAGTGGGCAGTGGAGCCTCCCCCTTGCCAGATGACATGATGTGCCGCTGCCCTGCTCCACTGCTGCCAGCCTGTCACCAGGAAGGTCATCCTCCCCGAGCGGGCTGCTGGCTTGGCCCTGCAGCCAGCTGAGACCTTGGCTGGTCACAGGCCACGGCCAGGGGGTGATCAAGGGAGGTCCCAGGGGTACCCAAAGAGAGGACCCAGCCCAGAGGAGAAAGGGGCAGTGATAGGGAGGAGGGAAGGCCAGGTGGAAGAGAAAGGGAGGCTACAGCAGGAAGAAGGGGCTTTTGTCGCCCCTGGGGCAGCTTGCAGTGCATCCAGGGCGCGGTGACAACTCACCTGGAGCTCTGCCCCCAGCTGTCCCCCAAGTAGAGGCGAGCAGGACAATGGATATCAATGTAGAGAACCTGCGAGGTGGGCGGGGCACAGCGAGAAGGAGAAATGGGGAGGGGCTGGGGCTCCATCCTGTCCTACAGACCCATGGAAGTTCTGGAGCAGAAGGTCGGTTTTCAGTAAGTCTGGAAGCAGCGCCGCGGGGGCAGGATGTGTCCATTTCTCTTGCAAAGTCCCGCAGCCTGGGCGCGGAAATGCTGGAGCCTTTGACTCTGAGCAGATGAGGGACCGAATCTCCTGGGTCAGTCCGAGTCTTCAAGGTCCAGGGAGAGGCGCGGGGGATCGCGCTGCCAGCCAGCGGTGAGATGCACCCACCACCCGACACTCCGGAGCCCGCAGCGCAGGGCACGCCCGCCAGGTGCCGCTGTGGTGCCCGCGCCCTGCCCGCCGGCG